CCCCTGTCTTGCATGTCCTTGATAAACCCCGCGCGGACGCGGAGGTGGCGGGTTCGTTGGCTACCCCCACCCTCAGCGAGGGTGACAGCTGCCACATTATCTACCAATAATTTCTTCAAGCCTGCTGATTCCTCAAGTTCCGAGATCAAGGCCTCCAGGGACTGGCTCAGCACGACGCCCTCACAGGCCGCCACCAGTTCTGATTCAGCGGTACTCAAGGTAACTAAGCTCTGCTTCTTTGACTTCCATACCACGCTGCATTCATCATACTGAAGGACTACTCCAGTAATCGAGTGCTCACTGAACGGAGCAAAACTTGCATCGGTGTACACGCTTATGCCATTGGCCTTGCCAGGGACTAGCGCTAGCCTTTCAGCCTTGGTATTTGCTAAGTACTCCAGCACTCTTGTGCCTAGTTTAGCCACGTACCGTGGTGAACGCGCTACCCAACTGGCCATAATGCCTACGCTGTACCCTATATCAAGTCTTGTCCTCTGCGTGATCCACAGAAGCTCTCCAGTTATTCTCTGACCAGCTCGTAGCTCTTCGGGCGTATAATCCTCCGCCAGCGGAACCTCACGTACCCACTCCTTCGGCGTAGGTGTCGTAGCTCGGGTGTTGGGTCCCAGCTGGTGGCTTCGGAGTAACTCATCTATATACCCTTCTTGGCCTAAGCTAAACCCTATCGTCCCGTGCTCGTCAACCTCCTCATATATGTCCACGCCGAGAAACTTCAGTGGGTCCGAAGCTGTAGCGCACTTCAGTCCTGTGCACTCCCACCTCTCTCGAATCCACCCAATGAAGGCTTCAGCCACGTCTGAGTCAGTTAGCAGAAGAAAATCATCCACGTATATCAGTACGTGACCCAAGGTTTCGCCCGTACTCAGCTTCATCGCCCAGACGTTCCCCTCACTGGAGAACTGCTCAAGATGAGCCTGCCCATATGGCGTAGTCCAACTGGCCGTTCGGAGCACGCTATCTCGATGCTCCGCCCACCAGCGTGGGCTTTCACGAAACCCGTAGAGGGCTCTGTCTATTATCCAGATCTCGTCTGGAGAGCACACGCCCATCTCCACCAGTAACTTCGGGGGTCGTACCCCGTACTTCTTGGTGACATACGCAGGGATTGGTGCCAGCAGAAACGCAGACTTCACGTCCAAACCGTAACATCTTCGGCCCCGTCTACCCGCATACACCAGTAGAGTCCTCAGGCACTCTGCTCCCGCCCCACCGGCGTAGAGCAACGTTTCCTCGGTAGTTGAGGCATAGTTGCCGCAACTCACCACTCTGAACTTGCGCTTGAAAGGCTCTCCTGGTTTGATAGTGCAAACTGCCTTGGCTGGAATTAACTCGATGGTGCTATCACGAAGAATCTCTCGTGCTTGCTGTCCTCTGAACCTCCGAATCGCCTTCATGCCTTCCAGAGACTGGACCTCTGCCACTGCTGAGGGCTTCCACCGATCAAGGTGGGCTCGGACATCTGCTGGAGCGACGTTATGCACAACTTCTAGAGGGCCTTGAAGCTCTTCCAAAAGGGCCTCTATGTTCGGAGTATAAGCATCGTCCTCTACTCTCCTAACCTCTGCGGTCTGGGCGGCCGGCGGTGCACTTAGCGACCTAAGGGGATTTCCCACTGGAACTCCGATCTGCACATCACGACCACTAACGTCAGCTCGAGTTGCTTGGTGGATCTGACTTGCTACGGTACCCCCTTCTGGCCTAGGTTCATTACCACTGGGACTTGCAGGCGTTACCATCATGCATTTATGCTCTGAAACGACCTGTGGAGTGAGTGAATCCGTCGGGTCTGCTTGAGTCTCCTCCGGAACATTTAACATTTCATCATCAACCTGCTCAGAGCACGTCGGCAAAACGGGTGGATCACACAACTCTGGATGCACCTCACCTGGCCTAAAGTTAGCGCCATCTGTACTGGAAGCCGCGGGGGGCCAATTGTCACCCGGATCATCATCTTCACCATTCCACATTGACTGAAGATACATCATCTCTAAGTAATCTTCTTCGTAGATGTCTGCCTGATGCGGCCTCCTCAAAGGCACCTGTGACGATGAGGCAACACT